TAAATAGATTCTGCATTTCTTCAGATCTGTTTAACACAGAAATTGAACGTCCACAGAACTCCTGCCACAAGTTGGTTTGACAGCTTGCCAGAAAGGTAGTTTTAGAATATGCAAAGAAGCAGCAGGGAAGCTTTTTAGTAAGTTTTTGGCATGTTGGCCATGGGAGCCTCCATTTTTACCTGAATGTACAATTCTTGAAATTCTTCAAAGAAAGCAATCACTTGCTTACAAAATAAACTTTTGTACACCTAGGTTCAGGACCAGACAGAATTTGAGAAGTGGAGGAGGGGAATCAAAAACAAAAAGGCTTTTTTCATCTTGGTCTGTGCACAGCAGAAGAAACTGTTGAAACGGCAAATAGAACAAGCATTCTAAGACAAAGCAGCAGATGGCAAACTGCATGACATGATTCCAATGAATGACTGAATTGTATGCTTTTTCCTCCCAGAAAGTTTCTATTAACAGTGAAGTACTCTACAGAACTGTAACTGCAGCACTTTGACAAGGACTCAAAAATCAAGGCATTGCTGCAGGTTTTTCCACTCCTGCATATTAAGGTCTCACAAAACTGTAATTTACATTTTGATTGCAATTGTAACACACATTTGGTGTCTCATTGAAAGATTCAGTATTTTAAGCACTGATAGCAGTGAAGGAATGGAACAAGAGGTCCTTCCTCAGGTGGAACTCAAGTGTCTGGTCAGGTACAGACAGGTAAAGAGAACTTAAGAACAGAACATGGATTCATTGCTTGCATTTCACAGATTGCAGCTGTGTGCTTGCTTGCATTGCACTAATTCCTGTCTGAACATTGCCTTTACCCTTTTTACTGCAGCATAACTTTTCATGCTGAGTGGACAGGGCAGGATTCACTGAAGCAGGAAGAGTATCCATTATCCAGAGGTAAAGGAAGAAAGCAATTATCTTTCATCTCCATATTCTATATTGTATGCAACATCTGTTCACTTTAAATTATTGTTTTAACAGGCTGCTGTGAAAAGCCATTATTACCACAAAACCAGATAAGCTGGTCACAGATCAATACAACTAGGCAGTAAGATGCTCTTGGCAGGAACATCTTTTTATGCTTGTGCTTCCCACAGAACAGCGGGATGCCAAAACCTTAAAACTGGGTGCCACAGAAGTATAAGTAGTAATCAAGTACAATTGTTCAGTCTCTGCTTATAATTCATCTTTACCCACTCAAGCTGTGTCATATAAACATAGAGTGGCGGATGCAATTTTTATTCCAGCAGCAGTTACACTATTTCAGTGCTGGATAGACTTCTCTTGAAACTTTGCCTCTGGCTTTGCTTGAAGCTTTCTTTTGCCTGAAGCTTTCTTTTGCCTGGTCATGGTGCTCTGTCAGTCTCAAAGAAGTAGTAATGGATGCATATGCCACCTGTAGGTAGAAACAGCACATCCAGGTGCCACCACACCACTAGATCTTTCTTCTAAGCCTCATGCTTTCAAGAACAACCATTCACAGAGGTTTCACCGCCAATAACATCACCCTCACTTTCCCCAAATAACTTCATAGCTTATTTCTGCACTGTGATGCTAGATGACAGATTTCTTCCAGACCTTCATTTTGTTCATGTGCATATGTTAATATATATCGCATGTGTAGACCTGCTGCTCCAAGCTTCAAATATGTTCCCCACTTTCCCTCATTTATACAAAAAAGACACCTCTGGCAGTAATATGCAAAACGCTTGCTCTCTTCAAGAGTTCATCTTTTCAAAGGTCCTACAGCTTAATATAGAATACAGAATGTCTTTTCAAAACAGTGTTGAGCAGTCTAGAAGGAGATAATGAAAGTATTCAGTCAGGATCATACTGTGCTGAATGCAGATTTAAGAAAAATGAAATCCACAAATATGTCGCAACTTGTTCCACCTAAAAAGTACTCTGCATGTTTGCAAAAGCTTTTCAAGATGCATGAAAGTGTTTTTTGTTGCAGAAATTAATCCTCTGGATATTTTGTGTGTAAATGAACTTACATTCAGATGGACAATCCCTAACAGACTACTGTTTTAAAGTTAGAAAAAGTAAAATTCAGGTGTCTTCAAAAACAAACCAACCCCTAAAGTTTCCTAGCAATACCAGAAGTTCCAAAGACAAGACATCTCACCTTTCACTGTCAGAGCTGTTTTCAGATTTTGCTCCAGATATTTGTATTTCATTTAATTCGAGTTGTTTTTGCAGCTGGTGACGTTCCTAATCAAGAAATGTTATCCTTCAGTTCTCCATATGTCAAAATGTAAAGGCTTCACAAAGCATATTTCATTGCAATTCAAAAGATCATTTGTGAAATTAAAATAGAAACTGATTAAACAAAATTAATGCGTTTCCTATAGCCAAAGCGCACAGAATGCATAAGAATAATAATCAAATTCCCAGCTATGCATGGAAATAAGATCAGAGTTTTCAATTTCCTATTTGAAGATGTATGGTTGTACTTTACACTGAATTTTTTTAATAAAAAAGATGAGTTATCACAATCTTTAGCTACATAAACATCAAACTGTTCATGTTATCCCTCAAAAAAGATCTCTCAATCCATGGCTGAGGTAGAAGGTATTGCTCTATTTTCTTCCCCAAAATATTCCTGTTTAATTTTTAGGTGACCACCAGCACAGTGCTTGTGAAGATCTATGAGGACTTGGGAACTGAGTCAAGACAAATTAACAGAGGAGTCTGCTACCCACTTTAATGGGAAGTTAAATTCAGGCATTATTAAGGTTTGCTCTGCAAGTATCAGCCAGATAAGAGCAAATTAAATAACCAATGTGAAGAAACTCATCTGTGCTTAAGAACTATATTGCAAGCCTTTATTCACTGCACAATACTTAGAAGTTGTAGGCTGAATCGCAGATTAAGTTAATGGAGCAACTAAAGGGGCATATTAAACTGAATGATTTCTCATTGTAATTACTAATTCTACTAATGGATTTGCAAGCATCAGACAGAAGGGGCTCAAATACAAATGCACATTAGACTAACCAGAGTCAAGCCAACAAGGCTGGCTCATAATAATCTATTTCTCAGTAACAAATATTTACTATACTAAACTAAAGTTGGTGAAAAAACACTTCACTTGTAAGAACAAAAGCTCGTATTGCCTCCACTTCCTAGAATGCTCTCTGCTTCTGTATTTTGGACAGCAAGGCACAGACCATTAAAGATAATGAGATGCCTGCTATTGAATGAAATGGGAAATGCCAAAATACATCCAAGAGCATGAGAGTCTTTTGGAAGGGCTGCTTATACCATTTAGAGTGACACTATTCAGTCTAAGGACTAAACAATAACATTCATTCTCAGCTGAATGATAAGAGAAAATGGAATTTCACTGTAACTGTTTGAGACAGAAGATATAAAGCTGTTTCAGATATCCAAAAGGTTCAACAAATGAGATTCAGATGCAGTGTACTATGCAAGAAGAGGTACTGTGATACTCTTAGGCTTAACAATACATTAAAATAATAATCATCTGACTACTAGTCAGGTGGAGCAAAGTCCATAAAAGAGAAGGAAAAGCAGGAAATAAAAAGAAGCAATGCAAAAACTGCTACAATTAGTTTTACAGTAGTGCTACCAGTGTCACAACAGGTAAATGTCTCAAAGCATTTCTACTTTGAGAGCTTTAAAAGTAATTTGTCAAAAACCTGCTCTCAATTACAGTTTGGTAGGGAATGTTTAGCTGGGGAGAGGAATTATTAAAAGTTTTTTAATGCTAGCAGGAAAGGAATAACCTAAGGTCTGGATTAAAAGGCAGTAAAAATTAGTTTTTCCTCCTCTCCTCAAAATATTCTGAGCCATAATCTAAATAAGATGGATATCTGCATGAATGATTAATTGGCTGCTACATACCCACAAAAAATCCTCAAAACATTTTAGTCTGAAGCTTTCAGTTTAGCATTTCATCCACATGTGGAGAAATTTGGAGACACAATTCCAATCAGTAAATAGTAAGGTCTATTCATAACTAAAACACATTTTAATGGACCTACCAACAGCATTTCTAAGAGACTTTGGATCATTTATGATTACTACTTCAGTAGGCTTAGGAGACCTTGCACACTGAAGGAAGACTGAATGGTCTTTTTAAACTCTTTCTTTAAATTTTGACACCTTAGGCAGCCCTGACTGTAAAGGCCACTAGAACCACTTTATCAAACTGTCTCTGTGGTAGTCCAGGGCCATTTACTTATATGGATACAATAACTAGGATGCATACAGCAATGGTTTCAACTGAGCAGTACCAAAGAAAAAAAAAAACATACACCCCCCCCAAAAAAACCCCAAACCCAACCATTTCCTTTAAAGGTGGCAATCAACTAACTCTCATACCTCTTCCATGCGTTCAATCAGCCGGTCGAGCTCACCAATTCTCTGGTCTTTTTCCTGTATGCTTGTTTCTGTAATCTGCATCTTCTTATTTGCCTCTTCAATAGCCTTCAGAAGCCGATTCGTTTCCTCCTTCAAATACAAACATTTACAGTCACATTAACATACAATATATTAATGAGGATTTTTTTTTTTGGTTTTTAGGCCATAGAGCCAGGCTAATAGCTTTTAAGCAGAGCTCAAAGCTTTTCACTACACCTGCCCAGAAGTCTGGAAGAGTTGTGACCCTAAAAGTGAATTGTATAGAACAAAAGATTTGGGGCACTTTGAAGTGCATATGTATCTGTAAAACATCATTATGAAAATCTGAGAAAAACTTGTACTCATTTCTTAGATATTTGTTTTCCCTTCTGAGGATGCCACGAAGTAACAGCATAAGAAAAATATGCTGTGTCAGAAGACAGCACTTTAGATACCAAAGTTCACCATGTTCAGCTTTGTACTTTCTCACATATATAACAATATGAATAGAAAGAGACTGGGGAATCTACCTTCAATCTCAGTCATTATCTATCTTTATCAGTTAGAAAAATGCAATGACAAACTGCTTATAGAAATGTTTTACTTGGGATAGAGGGAAACCAGGGTACAGGAGGAGTTCTTGCTCCAGCAGCGTCCAGTGAAGTTGTTCCCCCCCCCCACTTCTTAAATTACCACTAAAATTGTACATTATATTTTCCTTTTTTTTTAGAGAATTGGAAGTTAAAAACTCCAACTTACTTCATTTCAAACTTATCATTACTGTTACTGTATTTGAACATACTCTTTTCTCAGCCCTACAATCCCAAAAGCTTGGAAAGCTTAGTAACTGCGGCTAGTCACAGAGACAGGAGTGAAGGAACACGTGTCAACTCTGGAGTATTAAATGATTGAGAAGTGACACCCAAGTTAAGCACCACTCTTACAGACTGGCTATACGTACTAGTAGAATTTCTTTCTCAGCTTTATGTTTCTGCTCTTCTTCTCGCATTTTTTCCTCATACTGACTATACAGTTTTCTTGTCATCTCTCTCATGACTTCAGCATTGGCTTCCTGCGATGATTCCACCTATGAGAGGGGAAAGGATGAGAGTCACAGTTGACCCATCAGTCAGTACAGCACTGCTGGCAGCAGGAGAAATGAAGTTCACATGATGTGAGAATAACACTTTGAACTTCAGCTCCACCTTGTTATAGATCTGATACTGCTGAAGCAGATTTTCATTTGCATCAAGATCATTTACAACACCCTGCCAGAATACAAGTCATTCGAGTGTGTAGAAGTTACCATTTCATCAAGTTCCATGTTGTCTGAACTTCATTAGTCATTGCTTATCCAAGACCAGGCTATGCCCCTTTATTGAGCCCTTCCATAACAGCCTCTAAGTCACTTGCTTTGTTACCCCATTGAAAAGATATGGTCTCCCCCCATTTTACAGGATAGATTAGAGATGCTCTAGGCTCAACTCCTGTTTCTAAATGACCATGAACACTCAAAGCAATAATTATTTTAAGCTGGACCTAAGTATGTGTTGTTAACTAGAAGACACAGCTGTACTCTCCCTTCTCTCTCTTGCTTTTTCACATACTGCCCTTTGTGTAGGCACAAGAACTGGGGTGACCATGGAGCAACGCAGATCAGGGAATAATCAGACTTAAAATTAATATACTCAGGGGTGTGGAAGGGTTAATTTTTAACCACAGGACCAGAAACTTTACTATTGCTACAGGGAAGAGGGCAGGAATGGTAATTCAGAGACAGGATTTCCCCCTTATGTTGGCTCAAAACACTCACTGAACCACACCCTCGGCGATTAAACACCAGATAGGATATTTACAGCTTAAACCCATCTACTCTATAAACCACAATAAAAGCGAAGTAAAATAGCTAGTCCAGGACTTAGTTCTCTTACCAGAGATGCTATAAATCAGACAAGGTTGTAGTGAAATGCAGTGGGTGCTACAAAAATGTCAGGAAGAGGAGGAATAGACTGTCATCTGGGAGAAGAATAAAGTGTTCCCTGCTGATCACTACAGTTTACACAGCTACAAAATACCTGGTTCTGATGATTAAGGTTTTTGGTCGGTTGGTTTGTTTTGGTTTTTTTAATTTCAAGGACTGACAGATATATTCAATCCTTGTGTTTATCTTACACGGTGGGAACAAGCTGGTCTACTGCCCTGTAGGCATTTCATCCTTCAAAAAGTGACTGAGCTTGGAAGGACTCCACTTGTACTGCAATTGCCCCCTTTGGCATCTCACAGAGACCAACACTAGGGCAGGGTGCACTTTGTGGGAGGTACCGGAGTTAAATTAAGTTTCAGTACAACACAAAACCTTCCACATTTCAGGAAGCCTGAAAGAATCATATCATTCACAAAAAGTCAACAATCAAAATCCAGAGTCCTTAAGATACACTGAACTGGAATAGTATCTCTGGCACTGTCTCTCCATCATTCCTTTGCTTATAGCTTGAGCAATGAGGAAGGAAAAAACAAGCATAAAAAGGCAGACGCATCAGGGCATCTGTTAGAGTACTCTTAAGCAATGTCCCCAACCTCAGTTATTGTTATGGTTGTATGAATAAACCAAACCTACTTAATAAGCTACATGGGTGTGTTCTCCTACCCAGAAAATAATCGTGGCATATGATAGTTACTGCTCTTCAGTTGCCAGCCTCCTAGATTCCACACCATCCTCTTACATGCACCCCTGGAATTATGTCTCAGATGTCTTGGCATCTTTGATACACGATTCTATATCTAACTTTCAAAGACAGCAATGAGGCATTTTATCCACTAACTTTGTAATAAAGTGGCAACTTTGAAGGCAAAATTTAAACTTTTTCCTCATTAAGGCAGGGCATGTATTCTGCAGACCTTGACATGCTTGAAGATGAAAAAATCCTTAAGTGTTCAGTTGAACTGGGACTTAACCTGTGGTTCTCTGCCCTTAGAAGCAGACATACCTTTCCCTGACTTGTTGGTGCACGTCCTTAAGATTATAGTAAAGTCCAAATTGCTGTTTTGAAATCTTAATTGCATCAGCTTTGCCTTCTTCTTTTAATTGTTTTTTCCGGCTGACAATAGCAGACACAAAATACAGCTATTTTTATAGCCTGTAAAGCTTCACTATGAGAAGAAACTAGAACACAAATTGCAAGTTATAATACGCTTAATGTTTTCTCTTTTAACCATTCATCATTAAGTATGGATGCAAGTCACTAGAGAACCAAAAAGAAACATCTTCTCTGACAAAATTAAACATGAAAAAACTAACAGTCACCTTAATTTCACAGTGACAAATTCTGATACAGTACTATATCCAAATTAGTCTATTTTGAGCAATTTTAAGAGAGAAAAATGTTTCCAGAAGAGGTTTTTTTTGTTTGTTTTTTAGTTCTTTTTGTTTTGTTTTTGGTTTTTTTATGAGATTAAAAGAATACATCTGGCAGATGAGGGGAGAAAAAGGTCAAGTTTTCTGGCATATAAAACCTTCTAGTTTGTGTTTTATTCCCTTGTGTTTCTATGAAAGAAATAGCTTAATTCTCTTCCCAAGACACTTGCGTTAAAGCACATAATCTGCTGACCATATGCTCATAAAATTTAAGAGATTATATATTAAAAATTGTGCAATACCAAATAAACAAATTCAGCATCAAGAAATTCTTATAGCCCAGTGTAGAGTTATAATATTCCTTTACTTACAGTACTGGACACTAAAAACCATTAAATGGTTTGAATTTTCACCTGCCAACATCCCTGAATTGGTAATCCCATGTTATGGGAAGACTGACTGCTGCTAGCTAAGATTCTTTGTTATTAAAAGAGTATTGATTCACTGGAATATGTTAGCTCTAGGGAATGATGAAGGCATGAAGAATAAAGAACCTGTTATAAATAAGGCCAAGGAATTCATTTAACATTCTCCTAATGCACTTACTGTGCACTATTTTTAGGGGAGTTTATATACCGCACCTTTAGTTTCAGTAACTGATTTTCAATTTGTGCTGTTTCCAGTTGCTTTTGCTTCTCTCTCAGCTTTTCCATAGATTGCTCATGTGTATGTTTTAAATTCCTTATTTGTTCCCTTATATCAGTGTTCTCCAATGTAACATCCACTAGAGTTTTCTAGAAGAAAGAGGCAAACCACATATTAAAAATCACAAATAATTTGGTGAACTAATATAGTCAAGAGATTATGGAACAGACAGAACATTTAAGAGTGTCCTGATGTGTCAATGCACCATGGACAGCTTTGCAAGCTTTAACATTTAAAATTATGGCTTTTGTTGTATTTAGTTTGCTAGAAAGTCTTTCTGTGAAGAACATGCTCAGTGAAACCAAGTCGTGGATCACTATAAAAAAAAACGAAAGGTACATGGATACATTTCAGTATGAATGCTACTCCCAACAATCTTCCTTTCTGCTCTCCAAGGTCCATGCTATACACATTAAATACAGTAGCCTGAGAAAAACTGTGACATACAAGAAAGAAGGAACATTAAATTGTTCAGTTCAGATACATGGGAATTTGGAAATCTTTAAAGCAGAAAATTCATTCTCACCTTCTCCCTCCCCCTACATTTCACAGGTATGTAAAGTCTTAACAAGAGTTTAGCATCCAAACATGTCAATTCCATTTCAGGAGATATGCTGGTTTGTACAATACAGAACAAATCACATTTTCACCTCAGATATTTCATAGAGACATGACTAGTGGCATTAGTCTGCTGCCAATCTCTTCACTGTACATTATTTTTTAACAGGTTTTTAAAAAAACACAGGTGTTGGATTTTTTTTTCTTAGTTTCCTAAATTAGCTGCCTTAGATATCCAAGACAGTACTTTATAGGCTTGTTCAGTGTTAGAATCTATATTGTTCATCCATGTTTTATGTATGCTTTTAAATCAACATCAGAAAAGGCAGTTGTCAGCTGTAAAACAGCTATTAAAATGTACCTGCAAGTCTATTGATGCTGATGTCAAGGAGCTGTTCATTTCACTAAAGCTATCTAAGGCTGCAGCCTGCACTCGCACATGATTCTCTAAGGATTCCTGATGAGCATTTGTCACCTGAGCAGAAGAAAAAAAAAAGTTTTATATAGAATAATGATCAAGTTTACCTATTGTTTCAAAGGGAGCTACAGAAGAGAAAGATCCCATGGTTAATTTTCACAGTACTAGGATGCTTAAAATATACAGGCCTCAAACCATATTCTTGCACCTCAGAAACAAACAAACAAAACTTAGAATCCAATTCCAACAGAAATAAGGCACAAGTATCTATGTTTATTGCTCATTTGTGATCACCATAAAAGCTGTTCTTTTTGAAAGGACAAGAGGACACTTGGCAGATGCCTATTCAGGAAGTTTACATACACAAAGTGGATAGATTGTAAAAAGTCAGAGTGAAAAGCAGAAGAATGCAAGAAATTAGGAAATCTAGAAAGGTTTGGGTGAACTGTAGAATAGCCTTAATTAATAAAGAACTGACTAATCAGTTACATAAAAGAAGGAACATCGAGAAGATTTAAGGATGAAACAATATGAAGCAGGTAGAAGTCAGAAGAGAGCTTTGTTGTGTGAAAATTTGTTGTCTTCCTTTATGTACACACACATGCTTAAAAAGTAGAGGAGGGGGAAAAAAAGGCACAAAATTACATCATTTAAGAAGAGACCAAAACCCAAACAGTGTAAATGATTATTAATCATCCAATAATAAAGATTAAAAAATGTTACTAATGGAGGCCAGCCCAACTCACATTCCTTGATGAGCCAGATTTGTTTCCCCGATAAAAATGTAAGAATACTGGGGACTGATATGAAGAACAATTAGTGTTTAGTAACCAAGTCATACACAGATTAGGTCAGCATGGAGAGCAGAAGCCAAGTAGTTACTGTTAACCCTATATAAACGTGTGCTCATGTAAAAACAAACAAACAAACAAAAGCAGAAATGCTTCAGATGGATTAAGAAAGTTACAAGATAAGAACTTCTGTGAAGACACATACTGCCCAGGGCAGGATAGTGGAAGTACAAACTTCAAACAAACTTTATGAACAAAAAGTAGTGCTGGAAATTGATGCAAAAAAGGCATAGTGATTCAAAGCTGAAGCAAAGAGTATATAAAGGATTTTAAACAGGATTCCCAAATAGCATGAAAGATGGCAGTCATGTAAAACCAAAACCAAAAGCCAACCAACCAAACAGAAAAAGCATAGATTAGGTAGAACATTTGTGCTTTCCTTCAGGCATTCTACATTATTAAAAAAGGGGGGAGGGTGTCTTATAATGTGCCATTTATGTAAGAAGGAGTGCTTCATAAACTGCTAATTTGCTTCAGAACTAGAGATTCTGTCAGAGCTGGTCAGAGACCCTTAATTAAGAGAGATGTTCAGATTCATGCAGGATTTCTACTGGTCTGACAGAAGATGTGGAAGCGCAGAATATCACCACAGCTATTCAGTATCAGCAGCAAAGATGACAAAACTGCATCTGAATCAGCATTTGCCTACCTGCATACTGGGTGAGGGACTCACCTTGTTGGCATCATTAAGACTATTTAATACAGTTTACAGAAATTCAGTTTTCCCTCCCTCCTCCTCTCAAATCAGGGTGGTGTTTTGATTTTTGATTTGGTTTTTTTTTTTTTTGAGACTAGTTGCCATAGAATAGAAGTACCAGTTTAACAGTAAGTTCTGATCTTTAAACATAATACAGCATGCAGAGAACTGACAGTCTCCAAATGAGGATGGCAGAAGGGCACAAGTCAAGGTCCCAGTCCCTTGAAGTCAGAATACATTTAATTGCCAAAGCTTCATCTGAACCATGGCTGTGAAAATCAATGCTGAATATATAAAATCCACAGCAAGTTTTCAGGGAGACTTTTTGGACCAAAGAGCTCAGCAGTTTAATATGAAGGATACTTCTACAAACTGCAGCAGCTTTTATTGCTTAACCAGCATGCCAGAAGAAAGAAAGGTCATCAAATGACCATGGAAAGGTTCAATTAAGCACCAAAAGGTAAGTAATTTTTAGAACTGCCATGGACTTTAATACTAAAGAATATTGCTACTTCTTTTACTGTAGTGTTTAAACAAAACAATCAGTAAAACAGAGCAAAGTCTGTTGAAAAGACACCAACCAAGTTGCACATTACTCCTAATTATCTAAGTCATTTATTCAATTCACCTGGCAGCTTACTGGTACAAACATCTCAACTAGTTACTAATACACATGGACAATGCTATCAAGATCATTCTTTTATTTCCAAGAAGCAGGCAATTAGTAATTCCATATGCAAAAGCATCCCTGTCCTACTCTACCTTCCTGGAGGGGGGAGGGGGTAGGGGTGGGAGCGGAAAAAGTAGAGATGCCACATAAAACAATGAACTGGAGTGGTTTGAGAAATTACTTCTGTTCTGCTAAGGCAAAAAAAAAAAAAAAAAAAAAGGGCAAAAAAAAGACAAGAAACACAGTGCTGCGCAGACGTAGGAGGGCAACACAAATGAATGTATACTTACTTTCAGTTCATTCGTAAGCTGCTGTATTTTTCGTTTCATTTCATCATATTCACCATACATTTTCTTTCTTACTTTTTCTAGAGTTGCTCTCACCTGGTATCAGAAAAATCAAATGTCTTTAATGTATTGATTTTACTGTTTATACTAGTACATGATTTTTTTTTCCTATGTCCTTCATTGTTACTTTCAGTAATTTCCATTATTAATCTACCTTTTCATCAACAGCAATTTACTCTTAAGAACAAGACAAAAACTTAAGTCTCAAGACTTGTCTACATAGGGGTGATACAAATACACGTCTCTGAGTAAGCCTAAACTTCTCTGTACACACTTAAACACTTGTAAATTAATAATTTAAATAATGAATTTCAATTATCTGTAACTCTTTCTAACCTGATTAATAAAGGAATTAAAATTAATTTGAGCATATAATGTTTTCTTTTGGAAAAAAAAAAGGTTCTGCACATGGATTTAATATACATTCATACTTTTTAAAGTGCTTAATCAGTTTTTCCTGAGTATCCTTTGAAGATAAACTCTTTAATTTCAGACTTTTAGGCTCATATGTAGCTAAACAATATATTAGCATAGATTTACCAATGTAATTTCAAATCTGAAGAACAGAGTACTCAATTTGACTTTATTTAAGAACTATGGATGTAAATTATACCTTGCCTTTCTAAAAAAAGAAAATTATAAAAGCATGCTGGAAAGTAGCTTGGGTTTACACGCCATTGCAATCATGCACAGAACCAATCTTCTCAAGAGCACACATTGCAAGCACTAGTTAAATGTTTACCTACAGTCTACCTTTCAGCTACACAATTCGAACTCCTTCCCACCCATCCCCTGCCCCCAGCTCTATCAAACACAGACCTATTGCAGATAATCTAGGGCAGTGAGCTTACCTCATCTCTGCATAGGCTTGGGAAGGAGCGAGGGGAAAACATTAGTAGAGCCTTATACAAGAGGGGGTGTTTCTAGCAGCTCTGCAGTATACTCTCCCTCTCCCAGAAAGGGGGGCATTGGCCTCCAAATTTATACAAGAAGTAGGCACAAGCCTACCCCAAACTATGTGCTCCTTTTAGGATGAGAAACACGGAAGGAAGCTGACTCCTGCACTTCACCTCAAGAAAGTAGCCCTTGCCCTGTCCCTACCCACACATACGCACATGCACACACACACACCCCACTTGCAAGGTGCAAATTTGACTCAGATACAGAGGAAACTGTCATCAGTTCTGATGCGGCCTGTCATTTTTGGTCTATTTCAGTCAAAGCATATGTGGCACAAGCTGAGGACTCTTGTTTAAGACTACTTTTAAAGACAAAACTTATCTGGCAGACCAAAGTTCACAAATTAGCATAGCTGAACACAGCTTCCAAAAGATGGGAAAAGCAAGGGCCAGAACATCTCTTCCCATGTCTTTCCCACTTTTTCCTGAAAGGATCAGTACCCTGAACACACACACAAGACATAGTGTTCCCTTGGTCTGACATGCCCCTCCATGCCACAAGCTGGCTGTGAACAGAAGAGGGCAGGGAGATGGTCCTGGTCCAAGCAATCTGCGCCAGGTACCAGAAACAGTGCAGGGCGAGGAGCTGCACCTGCCACATGCCAATTTGCCCATCCCTGGGCACCAGCCCAGCAGGGTAGATAGATAGGCAGAAAACCAGCACTGCAGGAAAGCAGCAAGTGAGGCAGCTTGCATGCCTCGCCTGCACTGCAGTAGTGACGTACCCTAACTGGGAGTGCAGGAACTTGAGAGCGGTGAATGCTGGGAGCTAACAAACAGTGAGTAATAAAGGAGAGAAGCAAGTGCTGATAGCTAGAGACCAGGCAGATGTTCAGAGCGCACATAATTACAGTCTCTTACACTGCTGGCTTGACTCAGTGTTCCTCCCTTTCATATCAACTCAGTTTGCACTTAAATCAGTGAACACATCAGTGAACCATTGACCAATAGCTTTCTGGGTGGTGAAGGTGGATGGAAGAGAAGGGCAAATAACTTGCCCTGGCTAATTAGGGGGTTATTGCCAAAGCATGAGACCTAAGGACGGACGGGCAAAGAGATGCTGAGTTTCAAGCACAGAAACCAGCAGCATCAGAAATAATTTTTTTCCCCTTTCAGGAGAGCTTCTGCCAATTATGATAAATGAGCATGCACAGAGAAAGTAGTACAAAGTCATCCTTATTAGGCTGACTATTTTAAGGCTGCCCCAAAATATACCCAAGTGATTTTACTATGTCACCTAATTTAGGAGCCTTTTCAAAACTGAGGGGTTTGGGGACAGGGGGAAGCAGAGGAAGAGAGGAGAGAGTTTATCCTTTCAGGTGTCTGCTTACATAGTTTCTTCTGTATCACATTTGAAGTTATGAAGGCTTCAGGACAGGAACCCCAAGATCTGTTTGGCAGTTTGCTTGCCCAGCTGTAGCACAATCAACCAGCATCAACAAGTATCACTTTGGCACAGAGGCCTTGAGTCTGGACCGCACAGTTCCCAGGTATATAGCATGCTTTTTTTGTAACTTTAATACCAACAAGGCGAGCCTTTAGCTTCAGAGTACGTTCCCAATTCAAGTTCAGGTGTTGGGCTAAACATCAGTCATGCCATATACACTCACAGCTCTACATGAATATATGGAAAGGAAATTTGACAAATTTTGAAGCTGAAAGCATAACTCACTTCTTTAATGTAATTCATCTCCTCTTTCAGCTGATCAGCTGACCAGCCATAAACCACCATTTCTTTCTTATGGTTGTTGTCAGTTCGGTGCACGACGCCATACACCATCCCATGAGAGAGCTTCCCTGGAGACATGCCATTTGGTACATGATAGAGCTCCTTGAAAGTAAAAAAGAAAGAAGTTATGTACTAGAATAAAAAAAAAAAAAACCAAAAATACAGTAACATAGGGCCAGGAGAGACAGCCAACTATAGTGAAAGCACAACAGTACCTAAGAACACTAGTTCCCAAATACTTTGGGGCCAAACTGTCAACCTTCATGTTTTTGGGAAGATCAATGAGCAGTTTATAATTTATAGAGATGACAGAGATGTCTAACTTCCACTGGCTTTAATAGAAGTGGTATAGGTACAGCTTGAGATAACAGATTGGATTTGTGCAAGAAGAGGTAGAGGCATGTGAGAGAAAAAGTTATCCTGGCTTATTTTCATTCACCAACATGTGCTACTTTTCTGCATTCTTCCAGAGAATTGTCAGTTCTCACAGTTCCCTTTGAACTCTTTTAACCACAGAATTGCCCTTCACTCCCCAAACTCCCTGTTGCAGAAAATATAAAACTTCACAAATTTAATAAAAAATTTTAGAAAGTTCTCAGAAGAAACTGAACTTAAAATATTTTAGGCAAGGTTCCTTACGCAGAGCTCAGAAAAAATCTGCTTATCTTTGAGATAAACAAAAGTAGAATTTCAGTTCGCATTTAAAACTAATTAAGGACCTCCAAAGCAATCAAACATTCATTTCAGGGCTGCATTTCTCTTATAGAATTTGTAGAACTGACATTATAAGAGTTAAAGCAAAGCTATAAAACAGCATTCACATGGGTGTTCCAGTGTTATTAACTATTGTAGGAGGATAAAACTTTGAAATTAGGTCTTGATAGGTAAATAGAAAGGCTGTTTTAAAGTGCCTACATTTGTTACTTTAATGATCTGCAGAAATTTGTAAAAATGTACTTGTAATAATTGTATGTCACACTCTAAGGCACTCTTTGCAACAGACTTCTCTTATTCATCTCACCCATACAGTTAGTAAGAAAAAATAATCATGCAAACAGTAGGAATAATTTCCCTCCACATGTAAAGGGTTGGACTAGATGACCACTAGTGGTCCCTTCCAACCCTAAACATTCTATGATTCTATGATTCTATGCCCCTCCATGCCACAAGCTGGCTGTGAACAGAAGAGGGCAGGGAGATGGTCCTGGTCCAAGCAATCTGCGCCAGGTACCAGAAACAGTGCAGGGCGAGGAGCTGCACCTGCCACATGCCAATTTGCCCATCCCTGGGCACCAGCCCAGCAGGGTAGATAGATAGGCAGAAAACCAGCACTGCAGGAAACCAGCAAGTGAGGCAGCTTGCATGCCTCGCCTGCACTGCAGTAGTGACGTACCCTAACTGGGAGTGCAGGAACTTGAGAGCGGTGAATGCTGGGAGCTAACAAACAGTGAGTAATAAAGGAGAGAAGCAAGTGCTGATAGCTAGAGACCAGGCAGATGTTCAGAGCGCACATAATTACAGTCTCTTACACTGCTGGCTTGACTCAGTGTTCCTCCCTTTCATATCAACTCAGTTTGCACTTAAATCAGTGAACACATCAATGAACCATTGACCAATAGCTTTCTGGGTGGTGAAGGTGGATGGAAGAGAAGGGCAAATAACTTGCCCTGGCTAATTAGGGGGTTATTGCCAAAGCATGAGACCTAAGGACGGACGGGCAAAGAGATGCTGAGTTTCAAGCACAGAAACCAGCAGCATCAGAAATAATTTTTTTCCCCTTTCAGGAGAGCTTCTGCCAATTATGATAAATGAGCATGCACAGAGAAAGTAGTACAAAGTCATCCTTATTAGGCTGACTATTTTAAGGCTGCCCCAAAATATACCCAAGTGATTTTACTATGTCACCTAATTTAGGAGCCTTTTCAAAACTGAGGGGTTTGGGGACAGGGGGAAGCAGAGGAAGAGAGGAGAGAGTTTATCCTTTCAGGTGTCTGCTTACATAGTTTCTTCTGTATCACATTTGAAGTTATGAAGGCTTCAGGACAGGAACCCCAAGATCTGTTTGGCAGTTTGCTTGCCCAGCTGTAGCACAATCAACCAGCATCAACAAGTATCACTTTGGCACAGAGGCCTTGAGTCTGGACCGCACAGTTCCCAGGTATATAGCATGCTTTTTTTGTAACTTTAATACCAACAAGGCGAGCCTTTAGCTTCAGAGTACGTTCCCAATTCAAGTTCAGGTGTTGGGCTAAACATCAGTCATGCCATATACACTCACAGCTCTACATGAATATATGGAAAGGAAATTTGACAAATTTTGAAGCTGAAAGCATAACTCACTTCTTTAATGTAATTCATCTCCTCTTTCAGCTGATCAGCTGACCAGCCATAAACCACCATTTCTTTCTTATGGTTGTTGTCAGTTCGGTGCACGACGCCATACACCATCCCATGAGAGAGCTTCCCTGGAGACATGCCATTTGGTACATGATAGAGCTCCTTGAAAGTAAAAAAGAAAGAAGTTATGTACTAGAATAAAAAAAAAAAAAACCAAAAATACAGTAACATAGGGCCAGGAGAGACAGCCAACTATAGTGAAAGCACAACAGTACCTAAGAACACTAGTTCCCAAATACTTTGGGGCCAAACTGTCAACCTTCATGTTTTTGGGAAGATCAATGAGCAGTTTATAATTTATAGAGATGACAGAGATGTCTAACTTCCACTGGCTTTAATAGAAGTGGTATAGGTACAGCTTGAGATAACAGATTGGATTTGTGCAAGAAGAGGTAGAGGCATGTGAGAGAAAAAGTTATCCTGGCTTATTTTCATTCACCAACATGTGCTACTTTTCTGCATTCTTCCAGAGAATTGTCAGTTCTCACAGTTCCCTTTGAACTCTTTTAACCACAGAATTGCCCTTCACTCCCCAAACTCCCTGTTGCAGAAAATATAAAACTTCACAAATTTAATAAAAAATTTTAGAAAGTTCTCAGAAGAAACTGAACTTAAAATATTTTAGGCAAGGTTCCTTACGCAGAGCTCAGAAAAAATCTGCTTATCTTTGAGATAAACAAAAGTAGAATTTCAGTTCGCATTTAAAACTAATTAAGGACCTCCAAAGCAATCAAACATTCATTTCAGGGCTGCATTTCTCTTATAGAATTTGTAGAACTGACATTATAAGAGTTAAAGCAAAGCTATAAAACAGCATTCACATGGGTGTTCCAGTGTTATTAACTATTGTAGGAGGATAAAACTTTGAAATTAGGTCTTGATAGGTAAATAGAAAGGCTGTTTTAAAGTGCCTACATTTGTTACTTTAATGATCTGCAGAAATTTGTAAAAATGTACTTGTAATAATTGTATGTCACACTCTAAGGCACTCTTTGCAACAGACTTCTCTTATTCATCTCACCCATACAGTTAGTAAGAAAAAATAATCATGCAAACAGTAGGAATAATTTCCCTCCACATGTAAATAAATAAGCTACAAGGTCAAATGTAACCACCTGACCTGACTACTCACCTAGGCTCCCTTCTAATCAACCCAGAGAAACATCTTCTATAGCAATCATCTGAAATGAGTCAGTCTCCAGAAGTTCTAATTTCTGTTCTTGATTACAAAGAATCTAAACTACCTTAGATGAAGACATCCACATTATGGCTTTTTAAAAAGAAGGGAAAAAATATTCTAACCTAACTTTGAATATTTGCAAACTAGGAACCTAAAATTAGTGATTCTTTCTGAATAGAAAGTTAGAAAGACACAATCTTGGAAACACAGCTGTGCCTGCTTAGCTTTGCACATTGCCTTTGAAAGGCCAGTGCTGGGGACAAATCAGTTATAGGTAATCTTACTGAACTTACTTACTCACACCAGATGCACCAGCATACGGGTAAATTTGAGAATATTTACATCGACCTTAGAATACATTTGGGTTTGTTTTGTTGTTCAGTAATGACACTGTATGAAAACCCACAAACTTTGAGATTCTTTACTAATTAAGAGTTTAAGCAGTGTCTAAATACTCCCTTTGACACCAAACAGAGGCTGGAAGAGATGAAGCTCAACATCTTATATCCATCTGCAGCTGCATCCTAGAGAGTCTGCACTCCTTGCCATGAGAGACAGTGATGATAGCATCTGCAGTCTAAAGCAGTAGCACTTTCAGTTTTTAGCAGCCAAAGTAACACAACTGCGGTAGCAATGTAAGAATAAATACTTCTTTGGGTAAGGGAAAAATGAACAGGAAAATCTATTTGCATTAAGAAGAATGGGTAAAGCTAGACATTTGTTTTATATTGTGTCCCTCCCGCATGGCACTGACAGATTTTCTCAACACTGTAAATCCTACACATTTTCCTTTACCATATCATTAATAGCTTAAACCATTTTCCTGAAGCTGTGGGTGTGTGTGTGTGTGCAGGGCTGGGAGGGGAACAATCATGGAGCAGACACCTGATAAAGAATGTTTCAGGCAAAGAACAACAAAGCTATAAGCAATCATTTAAAAAGAAAGCCTTAAAACCACTTAATGAAAAAACATTGGGCAGCCAGCCCTACCTATACATGATATCATTTTGCACTTTGAAAACATCATATGCAAAGCTCATATCCTGATAATCAGAAGTTTCATAATTATGTATTATTGGGTTTTTTGCTTTGCTCTTTGGATACATACAAACAAAAACTCCACATACAATTTTTTTGAGAGGAGAGAAAATACAGAAACTAGACGGGGACATAACTCAAAACTTATTTGTGTTTGTTTGCTTCCAGGGTTGTACAGTTTCTTTGATAGTTTGATCGCAGCCCCTCCCCTGCATCTGGAGAATGGGATTACATAGAAGTTTCCATCTTCCTGATAACCAAATGAATAATCACTTTGATTGTTTAGAGGTTACTAAGGCGCCAGACACTGAATTCATAAGTCCATACCCTTTACCCCTAATCATTCATTTTTTTATAGGGTGGACAGCTGAATACCAGCAACTACCAAGATCCTTTGTGCCTCCAAAACATTAGCAGAATTGTTTAAAGTGCCGTTTGCAGAGCTCTGTATGAAAATTATGACCAAGTTCCTTATTTTTAGAATATTATAAACACATTCCTAAGACATGTTTTGAAGGACTTTTTTTTCCTCCCCCCCTCAGAGCTACAAATTCAGACCAATGGGTTTGCAGCTGGAGAATCATCCACGGAACTTACATATTTCACAGATGAATAGACTTAAATTTACATCATAATGGGCAGTACATGCAGGATTAAGTATGCACAAAGCCAGACTGGTTACATGTCTCTTGCAACGATGCTAAACTTGCCTGTTGTCTGTATTTGCACAAGCCTCCCAAGGTGCCTTTTTCACTTCTCTTTCAGAAGATTAAAAGAATCTCCATCATCTGTTGAGTGTTCCAGTTCTGCTGTGTACTACTTAAAATACAGGATATTGCTTTTACCCCCTCCTTATTCCTCCTTCATATTGCAATCCCCAAGCAAGTACCTGTTAAAATTTCAGTAGAGTTCTTGCTTGATTTAAAACTGTGTGAACCAACAGCTATACAAATAACTGCTCTCATATTTCTTTAATCTTTTTCCTTGCTGTTCTATTCCAGCTATGCTTATCTTCTACTCCCCCTTTTCTCTGGTTGGTAACTCTTAATTCCTACTCAGTGACCACTTGTTTCAGGGTTCAGCATATGCCCCAACAAAAAAGGGCTAACCTGATGCAGCCTCCTCTTAAGAGGAAGGGTTACAATCAGAAAACTTTGCTCCATGCAGGGATGAGAGGTGTATGTGTTGCTTTGCCTGTGGACTATTTTTTTAATACACCTTTGTTTCTAAAAGGAGGCCTGGCTGAATGGCTCAGTTCTCAAACTGCTCTACAGAACTGCATCACTAGTATGCATTGAGTACACTTTCTGCCAGTTTGTCTCCTCTCAATCTACTTCCATCCACCTTTGGTTATATTTCTCCCTTTGATTTTTTTTTTCCTTTTCTGCCTTGTCCTCTGCCTGTCCCCTGTTACATCCTCTTTCTCCCACATTTCCTCTTCCACAAATACTGGATTTTTCACATCCCCAAAGACTACAGAATGTTTTCTAAGTCAAATACTTTTCATTGTTTTCCTCTACGTCCCATACATATCATCATATTTTCCTGAGAAGGTCCTCGCTTGCCTCCATGTCTCCACTCTGATCTGCAGTGAGGCATCTCAGCGATGATAACACAGTAAGTAAATACATGCAACTATTTAGGAGCAAGTAAATACTGAAAAGCTAACCAGAAGAGTACTTGAAGATGGAGGTTTTGTTAGATTAGTTAACCTTTGCTGTTTAAGGTCAAAATATCAGCCAGGTCCAGAGTACATGGAAGTTCTTGCTCCCCACCTGCCTATGCACTTGCTGTGCTGGAACAAGTGCAGTTGTTGCCCCAAATTGTGCTCAAAATCCCTTCTGATGTAAGATGCTGATCTGAAAAGGCAGACTTAGCTTAAACAACTTGTGAATATTTCTTTGCACCTATAGTCAGTTATGTGACAGTTCAAGGTAATAGCAAGAACACATCATGTTGGTGCACTTGAATACTATAGCAGCTTCCAGGAACATGCTTTGTCTATGTTGCAGCAAGAGTTGGTGTGATCACACAACATGTACTAAAGAAACACAGACTGTGTTTACTTAATTAATAAATATTTAAAACAGAAGCCTACACCCCAAGGTTGCAAAAGTCTTGATAATTGCCATGCATCCTGTTTATGTCTCTGTCCAAGGAAGTAGCACAAGTAGCATGAAAGAGGTGAAGCAAAGACACTATAAAAACAAACCCTAAACATAAGTTGTTAGCTGCTTTTTGTATTACCCATAGTTTTATTGGCATTACATAATAGCACTGAGGGTTGATTTGCCTCCTAATCTATCTCCATAAGTTTTTGAAATGAAAGTCAGATACCCCCATACTTTATACTTTCTCCCTGCCCCAAAATTGGAAGCAAGTATCTTTATTTTGAGGACAAAGGACATCTAATGTAACAATTAGCACAATACTGGGTTTAGTACTCATATGGCCTTAAAATTTTGCTAAATCATCATCTGTTTACCTATGCCATCTAAAACCTCTTCTTTTAACTAATACTATATCAGTTAAGCAAGGCTTTATCTTTTCCTCAACCACCACATTCCAGAGGTTTCTGAAATACCGTTATCTTTTGCTTGTTCACTAGTTATACAAGGAACAAAAACATTCACATTGTTACTTAGGTTACATATTTTCTGTTCAGTAAAATGACAAAGTTATAATATTGAGCTCACCAAGGGAAGTTACTGTGCTCTGACAAAAGGTAGCTATGTTTTAATGTTTTTTTCATATTCCTTTACAGCCAATGCAATTTATAATACATTTAGGGATGTTTCATATATAAATAGTATTAAAATAGGGAAAATATGAGTGTTCTTAAATTCATGACATGAAGTAAGAAGCATTGTTTAACAGATTCCAACTTCTAGGTCTCCTTTAAACGTTGAATTTAGGTGCCTGTCTCAGAAAGTAGAAGTGACAGGTATTATACAAAGTCATATCTGATCAATGAAATCTGTACACAGAACATCAATGTTTATACACTAAGAAAATGAGATAAAAAACTACAGCAGTAACTACAGAAGTCAGTGGAATTCTGTGGTTTTTACATAGTGCTGTTTTTAAATGAAGGTATTGCTTAATTAGTACACATCAAAAATCAAGCCATCAGCACACCAGAGAGGCTGAGAAACAGTAACATCAGCCACCTGTAGCAGGTGAACCACATTTGTTATGACACAACTTCTGCTGTGCTGATGGGAGTGGGCTGGCAGCAGCAGATCAGCAGAGAAAATAGGCACTGTCCTAGATTCAACGTGCACAACAGCCCCGTGTTCATTGCACTCATATTCTTTGATCTGGGCCTGACACAAGTTTCTGCTTGATTCTCTCTACCACATACAGGAGCAAATTCCCCTTCTGGCTTCTTCACAGCCTACTTTTTTGCTGGAGAAAAAAATATTTGCTATGCTTCTGTATTCCTGCTTGGTAAGCAAAAAGAGTTTCACCTCTTGGTTGGATGCTTTAAAAACATAAGAAAATTAATGAGTTTGAGGATATAAACTCTAACTGGCACTTTGGCTGTATAAGACTAAACACTTCTCAAACTCTGTTGGAAGCCACAAAGACAGGAAAGTAATGCAAATTTCTAGAATGTTATCTCATTTTCATTCTCTTGTCCATGTGTCCAACTGAAAAAGAAAATACATATCTCCATATTCTGCCCTCAAATGCCTAGCTGCAGCTTCCAATGACACTTCCAAATTTAGTCATGACAGCGAAGAAAGGGACTGACGGATAAAAATAAGACCAATCCCAAACAGGGACAATACAGTTGTCTGGTGGCCCTTTATTATGCAAGACAAGGCAGGCTTCAGGACATGCAGATTTTGCATGCAATCTGATGAGCACAATATTCTTTTGTACTTCATGGTGAAGTAAACAGCCTCAAACTACTGTCATCCATTGTCTATCTTTAACAGAAGTAATTGAACAAAATCAGGATAGTTTCAGATTCTCTCTACCTAAAGTGCTAACAATTCAGAGATATTTAGCAGTAGGCTTTTATCCTGTAAAAAGCAAACAATCAACCAACCAGCCCCTACTTGTGACTTCAGTTCTCATATGGTTCTTTCAAGGTATCATAGCCTAAATATGAGTATAAAAATCCAGCCTGACACACTGGAGCACAAGCTCACTCCCCCTTCAGTTTTTGAGATCAACTTCTCACTGTGTGCCATCTGCCAGCCTTTCACAAAGGAGGGGAGAGGCCATCCTAGTGCCGTAATGCCTGCAGCAATTTTCTTGCAACTGCCCAGATCCACCATTTTATTTTAATCTCTTACACTGGTTCATTTTTATTTCATGGATATATAGTAATACAAAAAGTCACTCTAGAAATTTAATGCACTGATACAGATTTGATGAAATACAGCATACATTTTCTGCTAAACTTGGACGACAATGAAAAAGGCTAAGCTAACAGCTGCTAACGTAACCAATAAAGAATTAGTTCTGATCTGACATCAAGCTCCAAAAGAAGTTATTGGGAGGATGAGCACTAGCAAAGAGCTTCTGTGCAGTTCACTACCTGATTTTGAAACTGAAACATCTCTTAATGGTACTAAGCCCCAGGAAGATACAGAAAAGTAAGAAATGATCAGTAAGCCATCACACTATGTCACATTAGGGCAGCTCAAAATCACCTCCTTCTAATGAAAGATTCGAAAGAGGAGATTACAACCAAATGTCACGCCACGGTATATTTATAGTTTTATGGCATTCCCTTCGACACAGCAAGGTCTCTGCACTCCTCCCTCACCAGCAGCAGGCAGAGGCAGAAAAGAGATTGTCTCCAGCACTTGTCCTGCCGAAACAGGAGAGCGCCTGGCAGCCAGGCTCAGACTGCCTGATCTGCCTGAGCGCTCGAGCAAAAACTATACAATCCCACAGATCACCCCTGCAGTTATTTCCATAAATCATGCTAAGATATTTTAAATACCAAGAACATTTTCCATATTCCCGTTTTCCTAATACTCAGCATTTAAAGACAGCACAGAACTCTACATTCCAGCAAGAGACCTGCTGTTGAATTTGATTCTTGGTGAAGCTGTATTTTTTGACCTTAAATTGTGAAGTGCAAGACAGAAAACTGACCAGAAAACAGAAAAACTATTTTCTATTATCCCTATTTCCAAGAAGGGGGCACAGTTCTCATAGGACCGTGTGAGGATTATTTAACATTTGTAAAACCTGTTATTCTCAAAGCGCTTTAACTAATTTCATTAACATTCAGTCAGTTGAACATGGGTGGATCAGCAGAGATATCTGATCACTGCTTTTAAAAGATGCTTTTTTTTTTTAAATTTAAAAAAGCGTGACTAGTCAAGAGTCCTGTGTACACTGTAAGTTACTGTGTAACTAATTAAATAAAGCAACACATTACATAGACAATAAAAATCTACAGGTAATTAGTGCCTTGTTTTAGAGACATGAGGAAAAAACAGTTCGTGATCAGAGATTTTTTTTGTAGCTGCTTCTATACATTATGATGATACAATCTGTAAGGCTATTTTTTAAATCACATAAAGACCATAAAACACAAGTAGATGGCACAATTACTGTGTTTTTTAATTGCTACGAAATTGACTAATTAGATCCCATCTAGCTCTGAAAGCTGTATATATGCTTTCTAAAAGTCTTTAAATTGTGTAAAAGTACTGAATTTTAGAAAACTACTCAGAACATACAATAATTAAATTACATACCATTTTTTTGGTCTCAACTAAAAAGGACCCATCTCTTCCAAATCACCGTGCAATATACTAGAATGTTAGATGAGCCCAATAATGTATTTATCATCTTTCATATCCTTTCCTTGACATTCCCTCAGTCCCCCAGAGAAAAAAAATGGTCACATAAGAAAGTCACTACAAATTGTCCAAGCCCTAATCATTCACACTCCTATTATTACACTACCCAGCACAGTAAAGTGAGTAAGCCATGAGTCAATAGCTATCCTCCTCAAAAACAAACTTACATTACTCTTAGGGCAATTGGCCCATATGTTTAGGCCAGTCTGAGGGTTTCTGCAATCAGATACAAACTGACAGAGACTGACAGAGTAAGTGGTAGGGGAAGCTACTCTAAGTGCTATAACTAAACACCTCTGTATGAAATGAATTATTACTGTTTAATGGTGGCCCAAATTTAGTTTGCATTAAAGCCTCTTTAATCCATTCTGTAAGTAACATTTATAGATCCTTAAGGACCCATTACTCTGCCAGAACTGTGTATGAAAACCTGAGTGTATACAAGATTCCAGCACAAGAGATATGTGATTGGGAATCTTTTATCTGACCATTTTACATTGCATTTATTTTATTTCTTTAAAATGTTGGTCTGAGTCATTTTACAGTTACTTTTGCTTCTGAGTACTACTAAGAAATTATTTCAAATAAATCCTATTGTTGTTTTGCTTTCTACTGTCATATTGCTCTTCAGACACTGGGTCTGGTAAACTTAGCCAGATTTTGGTTTATCAAAGTGTAAACGTGATGAAGCTGTGGAGCCTGTCCAGCTTCCCTTTCTAGTCTCCATCCTTAAGAGAAATTAAACATCACCTATTGCTCTGAAACAGCTCTTGAAGAACAAGTTCTGCACCAAAGCAGCTGTTAAGATTTTTTTTGTATGTGCACGCTATTTGCTTCTACAAAATATTGCCCTTCTGAATGCTTCTCCACACGTAACCTTCAAATCACTTTCACTACAGAACAATCTTGAATTTGTTATTTTGTATTTCTTATTAGTACATCACCAGTTACCAAAATTAGCCAACACAGCAAAACATCGAATTCCCAGGCAAGCCAGCTCCCACACACCTTAAGGCTCAAATCTTGCATACTGTTAAGCCTACATGAAACATAAAATCCCCTTCAGGTGAGGATCAAGATCCTGTTTAATGCAAGACCCTGCTCTTGATAGCAGTTTCTTACTCTTTATATTATATAAATATTAAATATTTATATATTAGACTTATATTTATTTATATATTGTTATTATATTATATTATTTAATATGAATATTAAATAATCAAGTCTTAAAGGTAAGTCAGTAACAAATTATGTACAGTTCCTGTGCTGTTCCTCTACTACTGTCCTATTTTACATGCAGTTTTGGTATCCCCAGCTTCAAGTCTCAGGCTCAAAGCTCACAGCTGACTTGCTCAGCTTCCACATGTTCCTCACTCTTCCAAGATGACTGGGCTTTGGACTCACAAAACAACTAATATCAGCTTCTGTGGATGGCAATATTTACTCCTTATTTATGCAGAATTTAACTTTGATTCTTCAAACTTACGTTTTTCTTTCTTTCAGGTTCCTTTGCTCCCTGTTCAGGCTGTGAGCCTTCATCAGGTGGTACTGTTAAGCGTAACCTACAGACATTCATCTGAAAGAAAAATAAAGATTTGCTTTTAGATTTAAGTGTTACAAAAAATTATTTTAATAGCTTGCTTTACAGAATGAACTGTACTAACATTCAAGTTTTAATTTACTGTTTTCTACCTCTGCCACATAGCTGACAAAAGATTATTTTTTAAATGTTAGAGGGGGTTTTTAGCCGGCAAGAAATAATTCAAGGGCATCCCCATAATTACATACCTGAAATAGCAAAAATCCATTTCAATCAACGTGTTCTTATGTACTCATAAATGACATTGAGAGCTGAGATAACAGAACAATGAACATAATTTTCAAGTTTCTCAGTTGCTTGCAGATTTGGCATACTTTTAATCTTCAAAAGGGATTATTTAGAAACACCAAGTGTATTCTGGAGTCAATGCCTCTTTTCTATTCACTATAGAAGTATTTGATCCAAGGAAACCTCAGTAACGCAATTCTACTGAATGCAAGTAGGAATATTATGGAAATCTGATACATACAAGTTTTACAAACTAAGCTTCAGAACGCTTCAGAGAAAATTTAAGAGGTATTGTTTCCTATCTGATTCCAGAAAAGCCATTCTCTTGTGGAGGAAACAGGCCAACAGGGTTGATACCTTTCTATCCCCAACTGCAGTTTGCCTTGCTTTTGGCTGAGAGATCTTTGGCGTAATATTTTCAAAGCAACACATTTCATACATGAACCTTGGTTAAAACTTTCATTCTTAGTCCTATTCATAAGACATTTTTGTGGAAAAAAAACCTGTAAGTCCTAAACAGAGCATAACAAATGATGAAAAGAGAAATTAATTTGTCCAAATTTGAAGCTGCACAATTTCTTCCCATGAAATACCAGCTGTCTGTTGACAACAAACAGAACTCTTAAAGCTCTTCCTCAAAATGTCCAAAATACCTCTTTCATGATTACTGTGGGCCATCACCACTGTTCTTCTATAGCCCAGCATTTCATCTGATCTAGATCTCTCTAGTTTCTCCTAACTACTTACCTCCAGTTGTGCTGAATGTGTACTTTCTCTCTGAATTACACCTTTCCACTGCACTTGCCCAAGCTCACAGCTCATGTCTTGGTCATTACAGCACTTCCTTTTGCCTTGAAAATGGTAATGGTGCTCTGCTCACAGACATTCAGAGCACAGCAGCAAAGTCATTTTCATAGACCCTGAATTTTACCATTTTATAATTCACTTCTTCCAATTGTCTCTCATATCAATTAAGATAACTTGACTTGACTTTCAAGGCTCTTTACAACAGCACCTCCTCAAAGCACCACTATTCAGCATCACGACAGGGATTCCCATTTTCCCTGTTTCTAAATAATGGACCTTCTTCAACTTTTCAAACAAGCTTTAACTTCTTCCTCTTCCTCAGCAAAAGCAATTGGAAGAACTATCCACAAATATGTGCAGCAACTTCACTATTTCCCATCCAGCTCTTCCTGTAAATCTGTTGAGATGACAAATCAACAGTGTTTAGACTACCGGTATGCTGTCAACTGTATTAAAAAAATGCTACTTTGTATTGCCTCCCATCTTCCTCTCTCAGTTTGGTCTTTTAGGTCTGCAAGGCCTTCTACCAATAAGGAACAGTGTCCTGAGATACAGATAAAGTTCCTTATAAAATATGTGAGCTGTGCCTGTATTATGAAGAAGAAAAAAAAAGTAGTCTGTAATAAGATCAAGGTGAAATATAACCTACTCTTTAGACACATCTGTAGAGGCTACTTTTTGTGCAGTGGGGTCCTCACTGTTAATTCATCATTCAGCTGTATGCTAGCAAATCTAGAACAAGAAGCCACAGAGAAAGTGACATAAAACCCCCAAAACTTAGTATAAAAGCAGGCAATGCTTTCATATTTGCTAAAGAATTCTGAAACAATGAAATGCATTTAAAATGATGAATCCTTGCACATTGGCTTTTGACACTGATTGACTGCTATGTTTGTTCATCTGAGAACACCAGATTCTCCTCATTCCTTCCTACAAGTTAGTTATCAAGATATATTAATAATAAACTCCTCAACTTTGGAGCTCATTGATTTTTAAGGTAGTTCATACCACCTTTTCTCACCTATTTAATTTCCATTTCCCCCTGCTCTTTCTTCCCATTAATTTAGCAAGGTTCTTTCCTCTTAAAGCATGCCTGTTTACAACAAGAAGGGAAACAGAGTCTGGCATTCCTCCATGTCGGCAAACAAAGAAAGACCAGACCCATAAATAGGAAACAGAACTGGATTTGTGCTGTGCTGTGCAGGAAGTGCTAGACGAGGCCAACTTTTTCTTACAGTGATTTGAAATGAAGGAAAACTGGACTAAAAGGAATGAAAGGATTGTGAGGAGACAACATGACAAAAAACTCAAATAAATAGAAACAGATAACTGGCAACTCAAAATTCAGAGAAATGGAGTTGTGTATGATTCTCCGAAGCTGGCAAATAGCTTGCCTGTTAGTCAGTATGGGACTAATTATAGCCAACATACTTATAAATTCACAGTGCAGTGATTGTAAATAAATAATTATCCCCATACCTGTATACCAGTTAGTGAATCATGAGTCCCTGACACATCACAGCAATTGATGTGTTACAGGGTTACTATGAAGGAAATCACAGAAGCCTAGTACAGATGGCAAAATCACAACAACTAGGTTGGAAACATAAATTAGTAACAGTAGTCTGTTGAGACTAAAAATGTACAATCAAAGGGTTGTTATCCTTTAAACTGTTTTTCTTGCCCTTTTCACATTGCCTTCTCTATAACCTCCCGAATGACATTGTTTTTCCCCATTCCCTCGTTCCCATGCCAGCTCCTTACTTTTAAAACACCTCAAATCAGTATCATATTTTTGGCAGTATTTCTGATACTAAGAAAGGTTTTAATACTTTACTTTGCAGCCTGTTGAGTGCGAATGCCAAACAGACGTGGCATTTGCAATCATCTAAGGATTCCAGCCTTGAAGTCATGCCCAGTGAGGCTTGTATGGCAGCGGCAAAGCACCACCCAATTCCTTGCTAGGACAAACTTATACAGGCTGTACTCTGGTTTATAACAATAGGACTTCCCTGGCAAAAGAGCAGCAAATGTATAAAGTAGCCATTCACTCCTGCTCCTCCTGGTCCACAGATGATGCACTCAACCTAAGGACAGAACTACAGACCAATCTGTTAAAATTCAAGAACACTATAGAGATTGGAAGGGAAAACCAACAGGCACTGCTTTTTCCTCTAACCTCCAGAAGCAATTATGAATACTGTACCTATGCTGTTCTTGCTATGCAGTGCTTCCTGAAGAAACAACACACTGTACTGTTTGTTGACAAGTTTACTTGACCAAATAATGAGGAGGCTCACATGGAAATTACAGCAAGCCCTCCTCCAACAGCAAAAAACTGCTGCAAGGATTTCGTTTCCATTTTAAGGCATCACATCAGGAAAAGCCTCGACTCGGTGGCAAACAGTGGCAGAATAATGTGCAACTGAGGATGAAGGCGTAATTCCCAGAAACAAATTGGGTTATGCAGGGAGAAAGCGGGGGAGAGAATGAAAGAGAACTCCCCTAGCAGGGAAAAGGCTGTGATTCAATTTCCTTCAACTGCTGACTGACAGTAAGAACAAGTGAGGAAAACCAGGGACAGACATGTCTTCCACCCTACCTTTATGTCATTGACATTGCAACTTGGTGAGCATAACTTTTAAAAAGAAGTACTGGGTAGAAGAAGAGCTAGGTATCAGGTTTTCTAGAATGTCAGATTTCAGTATGATTTGCAGCATCTGTAGCTTTGGCAAGCCAACAATATAAGTTATCTTAATTGTGCCAACATTTTATGTTCACTCCTAGCTTTTTGACACCAAAAACCTGCGAGCAGATCTGACATAATTTGCGAAACAAATACACAGACAGGAAAACAAAGACTGACAGGTTCAGCCCAGCACAACACCAGACAGCAATAGTTTGCTGAGTGCAATGGAAATTAACATGAGAAGACATGCTCTTTTAACAAATGTCTGAGAGGCTAGTGGGACAGCATAGATGACAGCTACTGCAATATAGCAGTTAAGAAAAAAGCCAATCTAGGTTAGCTAAAAATGTTAAGAATTCATGGCCCAGATCCACAATCCACATTCATGTTTACCATCCTACTCAAATCACTAGGTGCAACTTAAAACAAATACAAATGACAGGTTCAGTTTGAGTAATGTTCTCCCCCCCCCAAACAAAGCACCCAGAAAGGCACTGATCATAGTTAACTATGTAGTGAAATAATTACAGAGCTAGCATTAAAATAATGAACAATGTTGTTATAGAATAACCAAAGTTACTAGTACAGCAATAGAAAAAAACAAACGGTTCTACTAACAGCCAGTCCCATTCTAAGATTTTTACAGTACCTCCACAGGGAAGATGTGGTTCAATATTGATCTAGCTTCAGAAGAACTTTAGAGTTAACATCACCAGAATTTAATATTATTAACCTTTATAATGTCCGTTAATAAAATGGTTGGGGGATAACATGTTTGTTGAGTAACTATCCACTAATGGCCAAAAATCTCTGCCTAAGATCTGATGTTAGTTTTAGACTTTTGAAGGTGAAAGCAGACAAGATGTAGGTGTTCAATTTCAGTCAGTCCTAAAAAGGAAAAAAGAAAGTGCTTCCTTTGGTCATTTATCTGTTGATTAGCCTGCTCCATTTAGAAAACCTCTGCTATGAGATTGCCCACACAATTAAAGGGCACTTTTCCTGTGACCACAGGCACACAGGGATGTGACACACATCTTTCATTTATTCAGCAGTTATTCTGTCTTCCTCCCCTCTTTTGACAACTCATGGTAAGGGAGTCACTTTTCACTAAAAAAAGGAACAGCAGCTTCCCAGTTGGTTTTATTTGCAAATTAGGTTTTTACCAGTTTCCTTAAGTGAATGTATCAAATACAGTTTATTTTACATCATCCCTGGCAAATATATTATGGGGATGAAAATAAGAAAATTATTACTTAAACACAAAGTCTCTTAGCTTTGACTTCTTTAAGAAATACTAGAACAGGAAAACTCAATGGGAACACAGAAGATATGTAGGGAACATAGCCATGATTTCCAAGTCATCTTAATTTTTCCACATATATGAGCAGTTTCATTTTTATTAAGGCCAGGAACTTTTTCTGTGGAAGAGCCTGACTCTTATGTTATCATGTAAAACACGGCAACATGACATTCTTCATTGTTTCAATTATGAACTCATATTTTTGGAGTGTCAGAACAATCACGAAGTAATTCAAGAAGCGTCACAATCACACAATTGTCTTTCTTTGTAAGGTCAAGCTTATCACTTACTTCGATTTATTTCTTCACACATGGAATGCGCACTCACAATGATAGCAGTGTGGTTACAGCAGCAGAAAAGGGCTATTTAAAGCAGGGTGGCTGTAGTGACATTCCTGTCATATCTGCCAGAGTTTTAACAACTTTTTAGAAGCATTTCCTAACAGATCAATGCATGGATATTATTTAGCTCATTCATGAAAATGACACGAAACCCCCAATTAATCATATTTCTGCATCTGAGGAACTCATTATAAAAATAAATTACTATTGCCATCTAAATCATTACAGTGAGCTTCCTCCTGATAGATAGCGCCTGGACAGGCAAGTTCTCAGGTGTAAATACCAAGGCGCGGGGAGGTGGGGGGGAAGTCTCCAACACAAGCACACCTTCCTCGCAGGATTCCAGAAGAGCAGACAGGGACTAGCACTAACAAAAGCCTTGCAGGACACCCCAAAAGCTCTCCATTTCCCAGCGCCTACAACGAACGCGCAAAAAGATGTTCTTGCACACCGCAAGCTTCACCTGAAAACACCTAAAATAAGCAAGAAAAAAAAAAAAAAAGCTCTCCACAGCTAAACTACAAGCGGGGGGTTGGGGGTGT